TATGAGCAATATTTGCCCATAAATTTGGCGACGGAAGCAAAACCACCAAGCAAACGAGGAAAGCAAGACGATTGCTGTTTAGAAATTTATTAGCAAACAATAGATTTATTAATGCGAAAATTTGCTGCGTCAGCAGACATTGTCGTTGCTATTGGCTTAACGAGCCATTGGCAGTGCCACTGCCATTGTTGCTGCAGTTGACTTGATCTCTATTTGCCAAGCCAGGGTAAACAAGCAAATAAAGCTTAGTTGCATCTGGGCAAACATGGCTGGAATGCCTGTGCAGGTTACGCACACAAATGAGCAAAGTAACGTGCAGGCGGGTGTACATTTTGCCGGCTAAAAACTGGCATTAAATTTAATGCAGCCGCCAAGAACAAATGCACTTGCATTGATTAGTTTACCCAATTTGGCTCGCAAGAGGGTGGCTGCATGGCTGGATGGTTGGATGGCAGGTTGGCTACCAAATGGGGCAGGCGCACAAGGGGCTTGAATTCTGGCTGCTGAAGCGATTAGCTATGACCCACACTTCGCTAAGTGGCTTGTGCTCGTGTGGGTTAATTGCGTTTGGGCCTTGGTGTCGGTGAGTCGGCCCAAAACAAGCGGCGATTCACTTTAAAGCAGGCGAGGCACTCAGCGGCCCACTTGGCGTATGAGCAATACACACAATTTTCACCAAGTCGGCAGTAATATTTCTTGGATCCGACTGTTTGCTTAAGTTGCCCCCAGATTGGCATATGAATAAATGAGGCAGATATTTTTCCAACTTATGTACAAGTTCATATCCCGAAACTTTCTTTCCTACCTGGGATGATTTAGTGCGGGCAATTTATTAACAGATCAAAGTTTATGGCAGCTGTGTTTGTGTGTGTGTGAAAACTGATTTATAGCTGGCCATCTTAGATGCCACGAGCCAAGGCTTGGAACATGGGAAGATTTTTTCAACCAATTCTTGAACTTTTCGCTTCCTTGTTTATAATTCTGTTTAGTCTCTTTAGTCCCGCTGATCGTTGTGCTTGTTTGGGGAATGTCCAAAGTTTCAATTGAGGATTAAACCAGAAACTGTCTTGGCCACTTTCCTGATTAACTTTCCAACGACAAGATGCCCAACTCTCGACTGACGTAATCATTGGCAAGAAGCTCCCCGGCTGCTTGGCCCAGATGTGGGAAGTTTTCGGAAAAGCGGGCAGTCAATCGCTGTTTAAAGCGGCCAAAAGTGCTTCCAAAAACAACTTTGAACTCTGATGTAGAACAAACACTGCAGCAACAAAAATAACGGCCCGGCAACTGGCCGCCCTCAAAAAAATGTATATAAACCTGTGATTTTTATAGTCGACTTTATTTTCTGCCTTCCGTGCTTCTTCTAGCCTTTCCCCCATTGGGGGGGGGTGGGGGGGGTACTCGAGGGGGAGGGACTCAAGGCGTTGGAGAAGGCAGCATTTGCTTTTATAGACTTTTCGCTGCCCGTCGTAATAGTTTCCGTTTCCACCCGTGTCGGTTGTATGTGCTCGAGTGACCCTTCAGATATTATTTGGCTGCAAAACAAAGCAGAAATGACTTCCACTGGTCGAAAACGCTGCTGGTGGGTGTGTGTAAAAAACACATAAAAAGTCCTTTCTTAGCTTTTCTTTGGCTTGTCAGGAAAACGTAGAACCTCTACTGTGGTTTGTCGGAATACATTTCTGCCTTTAATCAATACTTTAGTTATGGCAGCACAACAGAAAGATATCCATCAGGGATTTATGACTAATAAACAGAAGTAAAGTTATGACTGTTCAAAGGAATATCTTATGCTAATTAGGTACAACTAAGAAAGTTTTGCACTCAAATTTTATGTGTGTTCTATTTTTTTGTAAGTCACAGTTTCATAAAACTTCTGCACAGCAAACCTCCAATAAAAAATTGTAAAGCATTACAACTCAATACGAGGAGAATCGTGTTAACATAATACATTATTTAACAAATAGCAGCTGCACATGTTGAACTCAGAAAACACTTTATTTGCTCGAAAAAGTATGGATATCCTGCACAACAAGTATGGCCCATACTTAAGGGCAACAGCTCGGGATCTTGGCTGAACTCTAAGCATGTTCTCCGCCGACAATGGCCAACGAAATTTCGTGTGTTCGAAGTGGAGTGTCAAGCAACCAGGCAAGCACTCATTAAGAATGTGAGAAAGTGTTTGCCCAGCTTAAGCTTTTAAAAGCAACGGCGGAGCGGAGAAGTGGAAAAGTGGAGGAGCTCCACTCAGAGCCGTTGACAGGATGAAAGACAGCCGGGAGAGCTGGGAAAAACTATTTTGACTAGACTCCATCAGCGTGCTGAACGTGCCGGGGGATGGACAGTGGCGCACATGTGTGTAGGGCTGTGCGCAGAATGTGTTTTTATAGATGTAAAGATAAACATCTCGGCAAATGAAAGGGGATGCCGCCTGCCGGGGGCCACAGACATTAATTCAGCAGCCGTGGGCGAAGACCTCCCCCTTCCCCCCCATATTACACACCCACCCCACACACACAAGCACACAACAACACACGCACACGCTCCAGGCAATAACATAAAAATTTGCTGCTGTAAATCTGCTCGCAACTAGGAGGAGCACACTTTAATGGGAACCTGGCCCAATCACCTCTTGTTTCAGCGCCCACCCGGCGTATACGTAATCTGTTGGGTAATGTCTTTAGTTGTGACAAGTTCGCAGGGCGGAGGGCCGAAACTAGAGCTGCCATGGCCAACTGATTCGGAGAGAGTGCGAAAAGAGTGCCGGGGTGAAAGGGAGAAGGCCAGGCCACGCCGCAGAAGCTGAAGTTCTGGAACAACATTTAGATAAATTTCCCCCGGGACTCGAAATACATGGAAAAGCTGAAAGAATGATGTAGAAGTCTGTGTCTGGAGCAAATTTAGTTTTCAAACCTAGTTAGTTGTGTAAGCGACTTTGAATACAGCTCCAACCGAAGTTGGATTGCAGCAATTACAATAATTGAAAACTTGCGTCGATCAATGGGCTAATGAGATGACAAACTACCAGCTAAATAAACTTTCAAATGCCATTTAATTTCAATTACTGCTCCTCACCCCCATCGCTACTTCCGCCTTCCGTGAACTTAACTTGCCGCGCAGATGTGGAGCATTGGACTCCGTTCGCTCGGAATAAGTAAGTGCTGCTCAATTTGGCCGCTCAACTATGTACTTCGTGGTTTCGTCATTAAGCCATTAAAGGGTTCGGTCCCCCGCAGAGGATGGTGTTTTAATTGCGTTTCGTTTTGCCAACACAAGAGGAAGCCCTCGACCGAAATTGAGCAGCATTTGTGGGCAAGTTTTCCTCAGTTCGCAAAGTTCAACCGAAATGTCAAGTCATTAATATTCACACGCCGGCCGAAGTAACAGAGCCTGCTGAACAACAATTCTCGATTCAGACGAATAATATTTAATTAGAGAACTGTTTAGACAAAGTTTTTAATTACTGGGCCCGCAGCGCCGACCGCCCGCATACTATAAATCTTACGGCCGTCGGCTTACCCGAAAAAATATTATGAACGCACCACTCGACTCGACCTTTAAAGTCGGCTGCGGAGATGAAAAGCCCCTATTTTCCGACCGATCCCCCGCCGTTTCCCGAGTGGCCGTCAGTTGCATAAATTTCACTTGCGCCGACAACGTTAAAGTCAACATTCTGCTGCCAGTGGCCTACATTCGGTGGGGGATTGGGGAACTGAAGGGTAGAGTGGGGCTTGGAGTGTACTTTCAGCATTACTGCCTCCGCCTTTCACTTTCGGTGACATTTTGCAGCGTTGCATACATCACACATGTGTGCGCCTGTGTGTGCAAGTGTGTGAGTGTGCGAGTGTGCGTGCTTATGCAGATGAGTTGCCAGTAACGTGTGGAAAATTATGAAGGTAAATTTGTGTTTGTCTTTTTTTGTTTTCCACCAGCGCCCCAAAGAGCGTCAGTCGTGTGCCACTTTGGCGGCGCCAGCTGCTGCCGACACGAAAAATTCTATGAAAAATTACCCAAGTAAATCCAAGTGAAGTATAGGCGATAGTTTTGAACGGAGCGAAGTTCTTAAAGCGAGCGAAAACTGTAGAGCACGAAAGGACTTTATATAAGTTACGGATATTATTGAGTGGGACATGAAAGTTATTCAGAAAGTTTTTGGGAATACTTACACGCCAACAAAGTAGGATCCTCTTAGTTATAGTTACTCTCCAGCTGTTAATTATAAATAATAAAATTCGATCCAAAAGCTGGTTTCAGGGGTACATTTTAGTTGCTTTTTGTAAATAAAGTTTACGGCAGCAAACGGAAGTACATTTTTTGGAATCTACACAAATAATTAGGGAAATCGACAACAAATGTTTTTAAGATACCTACCTATAACAAAAAAGTACAATTATTTGAGTAACCATAAAAAAATGTTTTGAAGAAAATATCGATTTAAAAATTGTAAATTTATCTGAAACTTGGCGAAATTAGTCCACTATTAAAAAAACATCTTTCAAATTAATTAAAAAATATTTCAAATTTATAAGATTTATTTATATTATAATCATTCTATAGTTACGTTAAATTGTAAGCCAATTTAAATTAAGATCCCTGATTTCGGGAGCTTGGTAACTGGTGGGAAACTAAACTAATTGACAACTGTTTGAGATGTTCGAGAGGAGTAATTCGGGGCATTGAATACAAATTGCGAGGCCTTGTGGCCGGAGGCCAATTCCTGGCAAACTAAGCCGCCAAACGGCGAAACTTGAGATAATTAATTGAGCGCTAAACTAAACACGAATTGCGAACCGACCCGGCCAAAAGCAATTATCTACAATAACAATACTCGCCACACACGTCCGTGTGTGTGTGTTAGCCCTTTGGTCCTTGCCAACACACCCACACATGCACACACCCACGGACCTACAGTAAATCACTTGGCATTTAGCAGTCTAAAATAAATCGATTCTCTATTAACGGAACATTAAAAACCCCGATTGCCTTTTGTTTCATTTCAGATAAATGCGCAGAACAAACAAAAACGGAAGGCGACCAAAATCCAATCTGAATCAAAAGGGCAGTGGGATTTGGCCCCAGAGACAGATGTTGCTGCTCCCCCGCGAACGGAAAAATAGTGAACATGGCCAAGAGCCAATGGTTATTGATGGACCGACGAGAAGAAATCACTGTTGAAGCACCGATGAGCCGAAGCGAAGAGAAATATTAAACAAATTATGAGCAGCCGTGCGATTGTAGGGCAATAAAACTGGTCGTAAAAACCCACTGGATGCCGTAACGAACAATAAAAGACGAAAACTATTATTTGACAAACTGTCAGCGGAGTCACTCGAAAGTAAAATTGTGAACGTTCGCAGAAAGTCGGTGCGAGTAAAAATCCCAGCATTGGCACACGTTGCGTATACGCCGCGTCGGCAGTTCCGCAGTTTTTCAGAAGGTGTTAAATGCGTTCGCAACTGGCTGCTGGAGCGGTAGCTCCCCGACCACTCTCTCCCGAAACCAGTGAAAGTGCCCGGCTGTGCACTATTTCCGCGTAACCGAACACTATCGCTTTTACCCCCCGCGGGAGGGGATGCGCTCCTGGAAGAGTCGCAGTCGCACTCGATCCGAAATGCACACACTCGAAGCGAGGACGCGGCCCCTGCAGGGCGCCCACCTCCCCCAGCTGCCCCATCTGCCCCAGCTCGCCCAGCTGCTGCTCGGAGGGATGCTCTGCCTGGCAATAGGTAAGTGCCCCGGCGCTAAGCCCCAAAACCTCGCGACGCATCTCGACAGCCGAACTAATCAGGGCATAATCAATTAGTGTTTCAATGGGCCAACATCCTCCACGATTTCCTTGGCTGCGTGCGCAATGTCAAAGGCGTGTCCCCAAAAGCTAGGTTGTTCTGTGACAGCTACACAGGAAAATAATTGAGATAGATAGATCCCTTTTTCGGTACCAAAACTTAGTAAATAAATACTGTCATTAAAGAGATATTTATATTTATTTCAAATTAAATAAGAGGAATGTAATCAATCGATTTTCCAAATCATTCTCGATACTTTGACTTTATCTTCCTGCCCGCAGCATTTGATCAATACTGTTCTTTTTTCTCAGTGCTCGAACGCAAGGTTCGAGTGGAGTGTGCGGTGGAAAGCTGCTTGACATTTGCTTTTCAGCCGGAGGCGGCTCAATTGCAGTTGCATACATTAAAAATGAATGAGTGCCTGGCTGAAACAGATGTTCCCCAGTTCGTTCTTCACCTTCCAGCCTCCACTTCGGTTTGCCACCCCGTTCGGTTTGCAAATTTACAATCGCTGTCTGTTGTTTTCAGCCTCTCCAGTTGCCAGCGACAACAATTATGATCCCCGTTGGTCTGGCTGGCTGCGAACGTGTTAATTGCTCTGCAGCAGCAGTAAAAAACTGAATAAAGGGGGTAATTTCAATAAACTGCGTCAAGTGGTTTTGTTAACACGCCGACAACAGGGGATTCAGTCCACTCGCACCCTATCAACCTTTAATTCGTTTCATTTTCCGGCTTCTTTTTGCCACTCCACGTCAAAACAATTAAACTCACTTAGTCGGGTTTACCCATAAAAAATCTATTATTAAGTTAAAGCGTCAGTCTATCAAAGCTTACAATTTCGCGCTCCGTGTGACAGGACACTTGCATTTGACAGTCGCCGGTTGGCCATGCAGTATATTTTAATGAAGAGCCAGCCCAAAAAAATATGTTCTATTTGTGCCGAAATTCGGATTTAAATCGAATTCTTTGCTGATTGGTTCTTACGGCAAAGAGCATTTAAAGCTGGATTTATTTGCTGAGTCCATTTTATTAAACTGCAGTTAGAGAGTTAGGAATCAATTAGTAAAAGCAAGTGATTGGCTTATTGGTTGCGTAAAGAATTGATTGCATTTATTCGTTCTCAGCCACACATGTTTTAGTTATTTTTGTGCTAAAAGCAAACCATAGATTTGATTTTTAGTCATCAATGATTTTTATTTTATTATTGGCTGCTTTTCTGTCTCAGTTGGTTATTCGAGATAAAAGCCAGGCTGCAGTTGATAAATTTGGGATTTTAAAGTTCCTCACTTGAATATCTAAAATAATAATCACTTGAATTTTGATTGAAGAGCTGTAAGAATCTATTCGATTATGTTCAAAGAAATAATCTTCTTGCTCAATAAAATTGTATGAAGGTAGTCAAGCTTCAATTAAAAAGAGCAGTATTAAAGCAAACAATTTAAGCCTACACCTAACCCAATTCCCTCTTCCTTCTCCTTGCGGTGCCGGAAAAGTCGGACGATTGAATTTTCGCATGATTTTGCCTCATTGCTGTCATAAGAAGCTATTAGCGTACTTACTGCCGTCGCCCAAAGCCTCGGAACACACAAATGGGCCATAGACCGCGAATGCCCGGAAACCGTTGGAAAACGAGCAGTGGCAAAAGTGGCAGGAGCGGTGAAAAAACTGGGTAAGAGGCCAACATGAAAAGCATAATTCACCGGCGCTGCAAAATGTTGAATTGTAAATGATCAGGCAACGGTGCAGGCACTGGAAAAAGTGGGAAAAATGGCCAGAGGGGGTGTGGAAAAACGGGGTGGGGAATGGGGAGAGTGGGGAGTAAGTGAAGCCATTAAGGGCTCTGCGAAATTCCATGTACAACTTGGCCCACTATACAAATATTAGAATTTCTTCTTCTGCACACATTCACAGCTGCATCTGCAGTTGCCCGCAGGTATGGCATAATATTTTCAACATTCTTAAACTTTATTGAATTTTCCGGTCTCTCTCTCTCGTGGAAAGATGTGGTCGCTCACCCACCCACAGACCAGCTTTGCTTTGAGTGTAAGATTGATTTATTTTCCATTTGCTGTGCTTTGCTTTCTGCTGCTTCACATTTTTCATAACTTTGCCTGCGTTTCCCACTCGCCGGCACTAAATTTAAGTTGTAAATTGTGTTGGAAATTTGTTAGCATTTAAAAATGATTTGCAGCTGTCCGCTCTCTCGATTTGCCTTTAAGTAAAATAAATCCATTCGCACAACTTAAGTACTATCAAGACCATGGACATAATGTGCAGCTGCCGAGAATTGCGTTGCGTATACGCAGCGTCGGATCTGTGCATATATAAATTATGGCAATAAAAACAAAATCAACAGCGCTGCGCCTTTGGTTTCGCTTTCGGCTTAGTTTTTCGCTCGTTTCGGGCAACTTTTCACTTTCTTTTTTCTTTCTTTGGATCCGAAAGTGGAGCTGGAGCCGGGGACATTATTCCTTTGCTTTCATTTCCGCCTGTTTTGTCTGCTTGGTTTTATTGCAGTTCTCCCAACTCGGTTTCTTTTTCCACTTTTTCCCTGGGCCAGCAAATAAATATCACAAAAATTCGCTTCCAGTTCCGTCAGCCATTTTCATGAATTTTTCTCGCATAGAAAAGAATTTTCGCTCGATTTTCTTTTGCTCTCCTTTTTTCTTGCTGCTTGCTGCTTGCTACTTTGCCAGCTTTTTGTTTCGGGCTTATCCGCAGCGTATTTTCCCACGGCGGCTGCGAAACAAAACAATGAAATGAAAAATTATGGCCAACGCCCCGCGTCCTTTCCCCACTTATTGCCTCATCCCCCATCCGGTGTGTGTAAATGTGTTTTTGCCATCAATTTTTATTGCAAGCTGAGTGTATCAATAAATTAAACATAAAATTTTCAACCGGCGAAGCCGAGAAGTGCAGCAGCCACGCCCACCTTCCTACTTCCAACTGCCGACTGTCGACTGTCGACATAAACCGAGCATCTTGTTGAGCCATTGAATTGATTTTGTGGCCATAAAATGCATTCGGATTTGGCCAATTGGCATTGAAGTTGTTTCTCAATTTGACTTCCTCCCACTCGACGTCTGCCTTGCGTTTGAGTATTTTGATCGATGGCAAGGCTGCTTATACTTAATATGCTTACCAGCAGGCCAAATCATTGGCAAGCTGAGCATTTGCCTGGCCAGAAATAGCCAGAAGCTAATTGTCGGTTTCAAGGATTCAATCCCAGAAATCTTATTCAAATAGTTGTTTGGCACACTCGTAGAGGCATTAATCTTTCGCCTCGCATGATCCTTGGCAGGGAAAAAACAAAACGCAAAATCAATATATTCTATATCAATATTAATGGACCCAGGGCGCCCACACACACTGGCACACACACATACTCGTACGCACACCTCCCGAAGACAGGGATAAAAAAGTGTTGACAGCTGCTTTTATTCACCTGTCAGGCACACAAGCCGCGCTAAACCGTTGATAAGCAGCCGGCCAACAGCGTGTCATACATGTGGCCCAAACCCTCCCTTGGAAATCTCCGGTCCAGCCATCTTTCCTTGTCCATCCAGAGAAAGCGGGCAATAAAAATCCATCAGCATCATTTATCAATAGGGGGTGATTTTTCGGGCCGGCCCAGTGTGTCTAAAGAAATATGGAAATATCAAGTAGTCATGTACGAGAGCTGGAGGAAAATGTGTCATCTGTCGAAAGAAACTTGGTCCGAACAGTGCTAGACTCCAGTGTTTGTCGTCCTGAACCTGGTTGTCACAGAGCATAAATGTCACAAAGTTCGGAGTTGATAAATGACGTCGAGTGCTACTCGCCGATGTATTAATTTGGGCCAAGACAAGGGGTTTGGCGAAAACAGACAAGGAGCAAACAGGTAAAAGCTGAAAAAATAGTTCATAACTGAAGAAATTTAGGTTTGACAAAAGAAGTGCAAAAAATGAATAATAAATAATTAACAGAAAATAAGAAAAGGCTATCAGGATTACTTAAATCAAGCGTCTAGAGTAGCAAGAAACCAACAATTTTGAAACCAAATCGATATTTGGCTTAATTTCCCTAACTATTACAAACATTATGAAAGGCATAACAAAGATCTTGAAGCTTTTAAATGTCTAGAAGGAAATATGTATAACATTTTACGGATCGGTCATCCCTTAATCTACTTTAATTTTTTTTAAGAGCGTACACCCTTCTCCTTCTCTAGATAGTTTCGAATCATTTTAATTAGTTTTTATCTCCTTCCATTTACTGGTGCTGTCATCTGATGGATCTTTAGCATAAAGTGCAAATGTAATTCAATTTCGATTTCGCCAACGTGCAGCTGCAGCTGACAGTTCAATTCCCGATACTTTTCTGCTGTTTTATTTGTATTTGGGGTGCAAGTGTCTCTGAAAGTTATTTGCTGTCGCTTGGCTCTTGTTTGCCGGTTGCTCACTGGAGGCGCGCCTTTTGCAAGGCAAATGAGCGCCGTGCCAAATGCCACGCCCCGAAACGCCCGACACCTCCCCCTCCCCCCAACGCCCCACCCTCTCCACCCAAAAACAGACAACGAGTGCAGGCTCTCAAACAATATCTGATAAGCTGCATCATACATTTGCATACTTCCGGCAATTTGTTTTTGTGCGGGCCAAACGAATCGAGACAAATGCAATAAGCACACAGCAACATCCACTGCAACGGAAAAAGTGCGACAGAAAAAGTGGGAGCTGCTTAGTTCTGGCCATCGACGAAATATTTGCACACTAAAGTATTAAAATATTGCAGGAGCTTTAAAAGTTCATTAAGATACATTCTATATTTAATAGGTTTTCTTTTGATGAAATATAACCGAACCGTTTTCAAATCGTTTCTTTCGGCAATTCGAAATGCTGAATACCCTACCCCGAATAGGGTATTCAAAACACAAACAACTCGGGGATAAAGATAAAACTGAAAGAGTTCAGTGGCGCATACCGCTCGATGCGGATTCACAGGCGGAGACGGAGGCTGTTCGCATTGTGCATACAAATTACACCCCAGAACAGCGCCACGCCCCTTAAAACTCCCCCGAAAACCCCCCCTAAAAACCCGCCAACCCTCCCCACGCATCGGTTTATTTAGGTGCCTCGCCCGTGACTCGCAGCAAGTTGTTTGCCATTTGCTGTGAGCTGTATGCGTCTTTGCCAGGCAAAAATATTGTTAGCCATAAATTTTTGGCAACACAGCGGAACAGAGAAGCGCACAAAGAGCTGCACAAAAAGTGCATCCAACATCGAGCAGGAAGCGCTGCATTTGTAGTCACAAATTCCGGGGCATTTGTTTAGAAACTTTGTCCGCAGTCCGCGACTGAAACACGCCATGTAATGTCAACTTGATTCGAGTCCAAACAAGAGCTTCCACTTGAGCAAGTTTGCAGCTCAGCGGAGCGAACCCGGCGGCAGATAGATGTGCCCGGGATCCGCTCTTGTAAATATGGGAATTTGTGTACACAAATTGGGGACATCGTTCAGGGGATCAGAGTAGCAGAGCTTACTTCCATCAAACTGCAGCTTTAAATTCGGGCTCAGAGCAACGAAATATCCCCACCGATTTACACGAACACTACTGTCAAAAAAAAAACACTAAAAATAATAAAAACTGAAATCAAATACAAACAGGCACCTCACAGCAATCGCTGCTGGAACATCACTTGGTTGTAATAAAAATAAATAAAAGAAAATAAATGAATCATCCGCAAGAGACTAGTTAAGAACCAAAAACACCGAGATGAGTACGACGGAGATGATGCGGGCCAAAACAAAGCCGTCGGAGAAGAAGAATGACATCAAACTGGCCCAACATGGTGAGATTTTTTAAAAAGCTGGGCCTTATATGCGTTGATGTTTGTTTGCAAGATAAATTGGGAAAAATCAATATGTGAATCATATTAGAACTTTTTCATAGGCACTTATTCGAATGATAAATTTTTCCGCTTTGTTGTTAGTTAATTTGTATATCAACACACTAAAAGGTTTCAATATTCATTGAGTCGTGAACTTGGTAGTAAGGTTTTAAAAAGTTTAGCCTTATATGCGTTAATGTTCTATTTGTAGAATTAATTGGACACAATTATAAGCGCTTATCCAACTAATAAATCCCTACTCCGTTGGTAATTAATTTATACATCAACCTAGAATGAGGTTCGATTTTTTTTTTTAATAGACTAATAGAAAATACAAAATACACTTCCTATTAGAATTTGCCACCGTGCGAATGGTGCAAATTGGCTGTGTACTAGATGTCCTGACCGAGGCTATCGAACGGGTGAAAATCTCTTTGATTATGCCAAAACTGCTGGGGCATCCGAAGCTCCTGGCGAAGATTCTGAATGGCACCAAGTACGAGAGGGCAGTTCACCTGGTAGAGTCCTTTGTGCGACGAAGGGAGTTCATTCTGCGGGAAAAGCGACCACCGCTAATGGACCACGGCATGATCCAAATCATCGACTTCTTCCAGCGCAACCACAAGATGCATCGCCTATTTCCGGGCTTCTACAACCACATGAGCGCGGAGGAGAAGAAGCTATTGATTGCCTTCCAGATGCTCTACGATCTGGCCAAGGACCGCCTGTATAGGACCTCCGCGGAGGCCATCGCCCAGGAGCGGCAGCTGCACGCCATGTACAAGCAGAACGAGGTGGTCAAGGAGCAGGTGGAGGAGCTGCGCAACAAAATCCAATCCCAGAAGTTGGCCATCAGGGCTCGAATGGCCGCAAAAGAAGCCTATCTCCAGAATTACGAGGAAATGCTCATGAAGAAGAAGCGCGAGAAGAGCGAGCGTGTTCAGAAGGAAATGTGAGTGCTTGAAAGGTCAGCTTTCCTCCGATTCCCATTGGTTTCTCCTCCCAGCGATCGATGCACTCGCCTAGTTCGAGCCAGCAGGAAAGCAAGTTTGGAGCGGCAGGCCGAGCTTGAAGAACAGTTGCAGAAGACGCAAAACAACTACGATACTGCGACCAAATCGTATTTGAAACAGGAGAAGGTATTTCGCGAGGAAAAGTGAGTTGTGGTGTTACTTTCATAACATCTTCTGGTTGCTCAACGCCAAATCCCTCAGAAACAAGCTGATCCTGCAGCTGCAGGCCATCATCAAGAAGTACGATTCCAGCATTGGCGATAAGATGATCGAGAACATGCAGCTCACCGAAGAGCACAAGGTGGCCAAGAAGGCTCTCGACGATTTTATGGTCGGATTCCGGAAGGTCGAGCGGGTCTACAAGCAGGTCGTGCTTAAACGCGAGCAGGAGGAGCACAAATACCGGCAGCACCGCATCCTCATTTTCGCTATGAATCGCGCCGCCACCAAAATTCAAAAGTACTGGAGAAAGTGGAAGAAGCACATGCGCAAGAAGAACAAGCGTGCCAAGATGTAATTCAATTGGTAAAACAGTTCAAATTATCCGTTACCTACTGAGCTTGTATTTAAATTAAAAAAAAAATAATTGCAAACAGTTAAATTATGAGCTTACATTCTAGGTTTATTCAATGTGTTCTTACATCAAAATATATAAGAAAACATTATCATTGGTCTACGTAGTCTTCGCAGTCACACCTCTCCAAAAGCAGAATAATACAGCTGATACTCCCTCCAAATTGAAATTCATGCTGTCACTAGCTTTCACCTCAACTGGATTGGCTTATTAAGGCAAAAACTAATTTCGCTTTTAATCTGCAGGCTGCCAAGCCACACAGCCAGCTACAACTCGCTTTGTCTCTTCTTCTACCATCTGCCCTCCATGGGGTGTCATTTGCATTTAAAATGTGTGCGAGAGGATCCCATTTTATCCACCCTTTTTTGGCAGTTTTCGGTGTGGAAAATGCATAGAAGGGGGAATTTTTATCACAATATGCAAGCAGGATGAGAGGAGCATTTTGTAATGCGACGGGGCCAAGTGCAGTCAAGTCAATGCCGAAAACTGCCTGCCCAATACGGCAGGGAATTTGTGGCTGATGGTGAAAGGGAAAAAAAATAAAATGTAAAGAGCAGGCTGGCTGGGAAACCGAGCATTGGACCATCGAAACGAACCGGCGACCGTATATGCAAATTACGCGTAGTGCTCATGCCCTGTCATGAATTGTCACCCATTTTCCAACTGAGATGCTTCGACACGCAGCGAGTGGGTGGTGAAAGAGGAAAGGAGGAAAGTAGAATGGGAAAAAGGGGGAGTGGTGCTAACCATGAGGTGGATAGACCGCAAACAGCCAAGACCGCTCGGGTGCAGCGGCACTCATCCGCCCCGTTGGCAGCAACACTCATCCGCCCCGTTAGCTGCGCTATGACTTTACGCCCGAGAGCAGTCGACATGAATATATCTGCTGCTAATATCAGGTTTCCTTCCGCCCCCGAAAACCACAACACACCAGCCCCACAGCCCCACAGCCCCACAAATGGTTTCGAATTGCTAATTTTATCAGCACGTGCACACATGTGTTACAACATTTTCTGCACTGCAAAGGACGACATCCTTTCTGCGGCCGAGGACATTCGTTATCGGCGATCTACGTTTGGCATTTTATTGCTGACCATTTTAGTTCGGCCCATAAAGATTGATAATTATGTCGGGCTAATATTGTCAGCCGTAAAAATTGATATCATCGGATGGGTGGTGGAAAATATTTTATGGTCAACCTTCAGGCCGATTGTGCAATGCACATAAAACGCTCATAATAATGCTGCACGGCCAGAGTGAGACGGATAGAGGGATAGAAAACCAGAAAGAGAGAGGGAGAGGTAAAGAATCCAATGAATATAAACAACAACAATTGAAATAATGGCAGGCAACTGAAATCCTATCACAGAACTCGTCCTTACCACTCGGCAAAGACCGCAGCGGAATGGCTTTCCACCTCTATCTCCTGCTATTCCTATTCCCTATCTATATCCAACTGTCTCTCTGTATGTGTTCTTGTGTGTTTGTGTGTGTGCTTTGTCCTGACGATTTAATCGCAGTAATGGAAATGTCTTTTTTTATTAGAGATTTTCATTTCGTGCATATATACGGATACCTATTCGGAGTATTTGCCGTTTCGATTGTTATATTTATTGTGCCACTGTTCCTGCCGACGATTGCAATCGAAACAATCACCATCAGAGGACCTTAGACTTCCTTGAATACTCTTACTTAGGGTAAATTTAATATAACGTATCGAGACATGAGCGATTGGATACAATTCAATCAGATGACAACCGACTATGATCAATATTAAATGATTTTAGCTATTTTAGAAATAGAAAAACTGTTTGAATATTTTAGATTAGGGTAACAAAATCGCTATTAGACTCACCTTTTGTTTTGTTTTATTTATCCTGGTGACATTGCATACGGGATGTGTGTAGATTGGACGCATTCAATCCGTGTTGAATTCCATTTAGCTCCCGCTTTGTCATTCAACTAAGTCTCGTTGATGGTATAACTGGTTCAATATTCATTAAATTAAGTGTTGCCTTCATCCGATTGTGTCGAGCTTCAAACGTTGAATGATGGATGGCCTATGTCCTTGTCCCTGCAGTCAGCCCTGTTTTCGATGCTTTGAATACTTGGCATTCAAATGTTTTGGCGGAATGCACACCCAAGTATGCCAGCCATCCCCTTGACTTGAATGCCTTAACCCATGCTGAGCCGTGTGGCCTGTCATGGTCGTTGCATTCCATGGAATCCACGGAACCCACTCACTGCCCCACCACCGCCTTCCCGCAGCAAACAAACCCACTTTGGACCCTGGCTTTGGCTATGGATATGGATATGGGTAGTGTGGCTCGGGGTTTCTTTTATTCGCTGCCAAACAATTGCGAGGGAAATGTAATGTGTACTCGCTGCTGCTAGGAAAGTGAGACAAAACCGGCCAAACGGAAAGTATGCAGCGAATGAGCTTCCCAGCTGGAGACCCGGCTTTCTTTTTCACTGAAACAAATTTTTTAGGGTGGAAAATAAAACCTCAGGAGGTCTAACGATGCAAAAATATGTATTTCAAGACATTTTCTTTCCGTTTTCTACATAGCTTTGATTTGATATTCCATGGATCCCTGAAAAGCCCTGATTCAAAGAACCACAAACTATGCAAGTATGTCCATTATCCCACTTTTTCCAGTGTGTCCTTGAAGGTGGATGTAATGGATGCAGGAAGCAGGAAGCCACCAGACGGCGTTCCATTTTCTAAGGCTTTCGGCTTTTGGGCGAAAAGAAAGCAAACAACTTTAGCTCCAAACATCACAATATCGGGGTAGTCGGGGTATTTCGGGGTATTCCGGGTAGTGGGAGCCCTAGGAACGGGGACAAAAGCCTCGAGGGCCCCAACCGATTCATGAGTGCCGGAAATGCTTTATGAGTCCGGCAATGCTTCCTCCGCGCCATAAAACGCGAGCCAGCCAAATTGAAATCTCACTTTGCGCCGCTAACTTTTCATCTTGTGTTTTTTGGCTGGCCCAAAACATATATACATATATATATGTATTTATGCATAGCCGAATGCATAAAGAGTGGCACCAGCACCAGTTCCTCCATTCAGCGGAACGCTTGCCAAAAAAGCGACAAGAGCGAGGGAGAAATGGAGAAATGGAGAAAGGCAGAAGGAAAAGGGAAACGAGCTGCTGGAGGAACTTTCGCAGCCAAAAAGGCGTCGCTCACTGAATGCAGGCAACGTCTCTAACTGCTCATAATTTATGCTAACGGCAATTTAAACTTCAGCTGTTATTTATTAAAGCCACGTGGAGCCTTTCACTCGTCCCTCGCTGCCAGTTGGTGGTCGGTCATTGTAAGCCGCGCTTTCAATGCCCCACTAAACCGAACCCGTGACGCAGGCACAGTGTGGCAAGATCCCCAGCTGCTTGACTCCAATTTCCGAATTAGAATTCAATTTGGCTATCAAAAGATCAGGTGCACGACAAACAAAAGTTTCAGGAAATAAAGAATTTTTAAGGAAGCAAAGAACCTTAAAGTGTTCTTAAGAAGGATAAAGATAAAAAATGTTAAATTAAAGATATATCAAAGCTCTGATAAACACACTTATTAATTTAAAATAATTCCAGTTGACCCGGATTAACTTTCTTTGGAAACAGTTTGTTCTTTCTCTGTGAAATTCACTTAAATTTCTCCCTTCTACTTAAAATTCACTTAGCTTTCTCCCTCCTTCTTACTTAGTAAGAAGGGAGAAACCATTGGGTTAATTTTTTCATTAAAATGCCACCATTATCTTAATCGGGTTCGTAAAAGCTAACGCCAGTGAACTGCACACACATTTAATGTTATTTTTAGGCCAAATTTCCAGCACTTCCGGCTCACTGTTGTTGGCTGCCAAAAAGTGACCCAAATTTACAGCCAGGGGTTGGCTGTGTCTGGGTTTGTTGGCCCAGTCCGAAGGGGGAGAGGGGGAGGGCTTCCTCCGCACAGTGCCATCAAATTGTTGCCAGTCCAAAGAACCGGGGTGCAGTTGAATGTGTCGCATAGGAGAGGATCTGACTGGATTCGAGGGGAGATTGCAGGGGAGTGTCGCCCCTGCAGTCGAGTTAAGTGTTTTATATTTTCGTTTAGCAGCTGAAAGTTGCATCCTTGGCTTGGATCTGGCCTGCATCCTGCATCCATCCATCCACTAACTGCTGCCGGCTGCGTTCGTTGTTTTTATGCAAAAGTTAAAAGGCACGAGCACAGCCGCACACACAAACAAACAAACAAACTCACACACTCACTCTTACCTGGCCCATTGCAGTTTAAAGAGCTTGGAGCCGAGATTCAAGAGTTTTATTGGTAAATTGGACAGATTGAGGTAAAGTGATATTAATGTCAACACCAGTTAAGGTGAGTTTGCTGGGGTGCAAGGACGGATGCAAATACATATAATTGTGCAAAAGTTTAAACGACCAGGTTAGTAAGGTGGGCATGGACCTAATCAGTTTTATGGGGAAACAAGAAAGGAAGCTAGCTTCGGCAAGCCGAAGCTTATATACCCTTGCAGTCATCAAATATGTCGAACAAAACGCATAAAGGCTAGACAACATCGAAGCTAAGACGATTTTTCTATTCATTTTCCATATTTTTGACTATAGATCATATGGGAGCTATACGATATAGTTTTCCGATTTTGATCAAATTTAACTCGTAATTCAAGAGTCGTAAGAACACTCTATATTCCAAAAATCATACTTGTCTGATGAAAAACAACGATGTTATTAATTTATTTCCATTAATTCTATATATAATTTTCGATCCCTCCTATGGCAGCTATATGATAGAGTTATCCGATTTTGATCAAATTTAATCCGAAATTCAATAACAGTTAGAAAACGCCATCTTGAAGAATTCAAGTCGATCTGATGAAAAACAATAGAGTGAGAATTTTTTATTTCATTCTCTTGTATTGGAGCTATCCGATATAGTCGGCCGATCCGGCCCATTCCGACTTATATACTGCGTGCAACAACTACACAACTTTTGGGAAAGTTTCAGCGAGATAGCTTTAAAAC